ACAGGAGACACAGAGGAATGGTGTGAAGCAGTCGAACTTGGTTGATCAACTCGTTGAGGCTCTCCTGTCACTCCGGGAAAAGGAAGACCTCACAGAGAGTCATGTCGATGATCACCCCAAGGTGTAGCAGGTGGGTCGTTGGTAAAAGATGGCTCTTGACAAGGTTTATGAAGAATCCATGCTCCTGCAATAATTTGGTCCGAAGGTCATGGTCGGCTGCCTGGACAGAGGTAGACAGGATCAGAATGTCATCCAGGTAGCAATGGACCCTCACAGGCAAGGCTTGAAGGTATGCTGCCAATGCTGCCAAGACCTTGGTAAAGATTCTTGGGGTCGATTAAAGGCCAAATGGAAGGGCCCGGTATTGATAGTGCTTACTGTTATAACAGAAGCAGAGGAACTGGCAATGAGGGCGCCAGATTGGAATATGGAGGTAAGCCTCAGTGAGGTCTATGGATGAGAGGAGATTGCCCTACCAGACACTCTAAAGGATAGAGTGTAACATCTGCATCTTGAAGCGCCTGTAGGGAATGAATTTGTTCAGGGACTTGAGATCAAGGATTGCTCTCCACCCTCCTGGGGCCTTTGGGATTACAAAGAGGCAGGAGTAGAAACCCAACCTCCACTGGTCCACAGGAATCATCTCTATGGCTCTGATGTCCACCAGGTGTTGGATGGCTGATTCCATAAGAGCCCATTTGGATCTGTCCCGAAAAATTGGACAGCAAACAAAAAACATTGGACGAGGGGAGAGAAACTCAAGGCGAAGGCCAGATGATACAGTATGGAGAAACCAGGCGTCCATTGTTGACTCCTCCCATCTTGAAGCAAAAAAGGTCAGACCTCCGATAGAAGGGAAGTGGATGCAGTTACTTTGAGCATCAGAATGAATGACCTCCTCCCCCTCAAAAGGACCGCTTACCAGGGAACTGCTGTTGCCTGGCTGCGTGATCAGGGTGTTGTTCCTGGCATGGAGGAAATGGTCTTTGGCCCCGAGGGAACAAGGGTTGGCTTCAGGATGGAAGGTGGGAGGCCTGGAGTATGGCATCTGACGGAATTCCGATCTTTTGTTGGTAGATGATAGCACCTTTCTTTTATCCCTGGTCTCCAACAGGTATGGTTCCAAGGCTGTTCCAAAGAGGTTCTCTCCGCAGCATGAAGCAGCTGCCAGCTTCCAGTTGCGCCATGAGTCAGTCTGCCAGTTGCATATCCAGAGAAGGTGCCTTGCAGACACAGAGGAAGCCATTGCCTTAGACATGAATCTGGCGGAGCTTAGTATAGCGTCAGCCATGAACTCTGCTGTGGCTATTATTTTGTTGAGGTCTTGGTGGGACCTGGCATCGTTGCTTGGTTCCGGTCTTGGATTTGGTGTAACCAACATATTGCTGACCTCATAAAAAAAAGAGGCCGCAATGGAGGCCTTCACCTCCCAAGCTGTGGCCTTGTGCGTGCATTTCAGAGTTTGCTCCGATCTTTTGTGATCAGGCCTCAAGACATCCTCCAGTTCTGTGGGGGTTCCAGAGGATGCAAAGGTAGCTATCACCGGAGCATCTACTGCTGGTACTGATAGGGCATTGGCCAGGGAGGGTCCCACATTAAAATATCTCTTGTCCTGGGTTGATGGGCGAGGCCCAGACAGAGGAGTAGCATATTGATCCCTCACCAAGTCCAGGAATAATAATGGGGAGGGGAGCACCTCATTTTGGACCACAGTTTTAGAAAATAACAAGTCCGCATGGGCTGTAACGTCCACCTGCGGTTCCGGTGCCACCTCCTCAGGACTTATTTGTGCAGTAGCTAAAGCCTTATGGAGTAGGAGCCTGAATAATGAAGGTTTGAAGACAGCCGCTGATGTGGGCTGCTCCGGCCTAGCCTCTTCTTTGTCTGAGAGGTAGGAATCCCTGAGCTTCCCCTCCTCCTCTTCTGATACAGAGGATCTGCTATGCTGTGAGGGATATAAGGAACCTCTGTCCTCATGCTCTCCCCAGCCAGGGAGAGTGGAAGAGTACATAACATCTGGGGGCTTGGAGATCTCTCTCTCTCTGCATAGGGAGATTTCCCTGATAGAAAGAGGAGAGAGTGCTAGGGGCCCCACCTGCTGGGCGGAGGAGATGCTGGAATCCCTCAGCGATGCCCTAGCCTAACTGCCACAGAGACCATGGATTGGATATCTTGGGGCCTATTGTCTGAGGGGGAGACTATTGGGCAAAAGCTAGCCGCAGGAGGGGAAAGAGGCCTCCACCATAGGTCTATGTTCCTCTTGGGGCAAAAATCCCTGAGGATTGTAAATTCCAATATCCCAATTAGCTGGCCTGAAACAAGGCCCAGACTTGCTCAAGTCTTGGGGGCCTCCTCAGGCCTCTCCAGGGAACATGCTTGAAGGTGGCTTGCTAAACTAACTTCTGATCCTCCTGTTCTGGGGGCCTGATCTGGGTAGGCCTGAGACTCCCCTGACTGAGAAAGGCCCTGTTCCTTTAGGTGTTGGAAATTCTTGGCAAACTGCTTTTCTAATGCAGCATGCCTCCTTTCAGCTCTCAGTTCTGACTTAAAAGTCTTTTGGGGGGCCAAGGCCTTCACCCTAATCTTTGCTGCTGCCTCTCTGTTGGCTGAAAGAACTCTTTGTCACCTTCTCTTGAAAGGCCTTCATGATACTTCAGAGCCTTGTGTGGCCTCCATATGCGATGTTCCTGGCTGGGCCCAGTCGCTCTCCATCTCACTGGGGGGGGGACACTGGAGGTGCTGTTAGCTCCTCAAAGGTCGTGTCTCCCTAAATTTAGGTCAGTTGGCTGGGATCACTGCTTTAAGGCCCTATTAAAATGGTGCCCGAAAGAACACGATCCCAAAATGGCTGCCTGCCATGAGGCCTTAGGTAGTGGTTGAGGACGATCTACAGCCCAGTCACCTTTCTCTCTCAAATCTTCCTTCTGGGAGTGCCTCTTGGAGATAAATGACTGTAAGGCTGTATATTAAAAATGCCTGTGACTGAGGAAGGCACTACGCGAGGTCCCGACTCATAGCTGATGAGTACAATCATAATCATGGCCTAGCGCCACTGAGTTACCTTGGGGGAGCCAACCGATTTATTGTTGTTGTTGTTCCACTCCTGCAGCTTGGAAATTGCACTCCGGGAGACGCACGCCGCAGAAGACCTGCGTGGGAGGTCTCCCGGCGAAAAAGCCCTTAATGAGCTGCACTTTTTGAGGGAAAGGCGTGGGAGGCTCTTCACTGCTCTCTCCCAGGCCGCACTTACAGTTATCAGTGCCCAGGTCGGATGCTGATCGACGAAGAAGAGCGGATCGCTGCTCTCCTTGCAGGCGCAGCTATACCAGAACCCCAGTAGCTGTGCTGATGGTATTGATGCTTTTTTTGCAGAGATCTGTTGATTTTGTCTATAGACTGCTTTTTAACTAGCCTAGAGTCCAGAGACACTAGCTCTTAACGTCAAAGAGCTGAGTCAAAAAGCTGGGGCTCTCAGCAGAGGCTGGCTTTTTATAGTGGCAGACTCAGCTCGATGACATCAGAGGGTGGAGTCATATCCCAGTGCTGGACTCTTGAAGCAGCATGGTGGAGAATGCCTACAAAGGGATGAGGCAAGCAACAAGATGAAGTGGGTTGGGATGCTAGCCATCAAATGTTGGAAGTGCCGCCATGTTCTTTATCTTTTTCATAAATGAGAGAGCCGACAAGCTTAAATGAAGCTGGAAAGAGGATCCAAGCACCTGACAGGTAGTTGGTTTACTGCCTTAAAGATAGAGCTGGATGGGATTTTCAACTCCTTCAGTTATTGGGCAACAGGTAAGACAAGAAACCTATAGAAAACAGCAGATGTTTGTGGATGTTTTTTCTGTTTGTGGATGGAGCCTGTTGGATTTCACTATACTATTGTACTGTTTAGTTCTAAAACAAAACTATATGTGCAAGAAAGTATTGATTCTCTATTTGTTGTGGTTCGCCGGCAGCAGGTGCGGACTGTTGAGGTCTCAGAGAGCGAGGTCTCAGATGAGGGGCCTGCGTGTGATGCAGGGATGGGGCCAGGACCATCAGGGAGTAAAATGCTGCCTTAGGAGATTGTGGAAGCTGGCAGCAGTGATGAAGAGGTTCCTGAGGAGTCTGTGCGTGTGTGCACAGGGCTGCTCGAAGGAAAGAGCAGCTGCAGCAGCACGACGACTCAGGAGTAAGGCTGCAAGGTAATGGCCCCTCCCTCGAGATAAAAACCGAAGTTCTTTGCAGGAAACAAATAAATTTTTGCACTCAAGCCTCGTGGACATTCGGGATATCTTGGTTGGTGTTTGGAGACTCTTTGTGTTTGAAATATTTCTTAGTAACTTTATCTGGTGTTCTTGGCAGCCTTGCACCACCTTTGCAATGCTTGTTCTTATCAGAGATAATTAGTTTGAAACAGCCTTTTAATCATGAAGAAACAGAATTCATAAAGATTCATTAAAAGGTTTTTCTGTTACCTCTTTCGTGTTTGTTTCCTTGGAACAAGATTTGGGTCAGAACACTATTTTGGATTGGATGTTGTAGTGCAATCAGTTCTGAGAGCTCTAGTTTCTTGTTCAAGCTGCTTGTAAGTATGTATGTATGAAATAATCCTGAGTCAGTATGTATGTCTGAAATCCCAAATTATATGAACTTTTATGAAAAAAGGGGGTGCAATGGCTCAGCAGTTAAAGACCCTGAGCTTGTCAACTGGAAAGCTGACCGCTAGGGTTTAAGACCTGAGTGCTGCATGATGGAGGGAACTCCCATTACTTGCTCAAGCTCCTGCCCACCTAGCAGTTCAAAAGCATGGAAATTGTGTAGATCAATAGATCCCACTTCGGTAGGAAAATAACAGCACTCCATGCACCTTGGCATATAGTTATGCTGGCCACATGACCACAGACGTTCTTTGGACAACACTAGCCCCCTGAGCTAAGAAATGGAGATAAGCACCCTAGAGTGAGACACGTCTGGACAGAGGAAACTTTTATCTTTACCTTTTATGGAAACAGGACATATTAATAACATTGGATACTACCTTCCATTATTTATATCAGGGATCCCCAACTCCCGGTCTGTGGATTGGCACCAGTCCACAGCATGCCAGAAACTGGGCCATGCAAACAAGTAAAGGCTCATCTGTGGGATGCAGGTAGCACATGAAACCACATCCCCTCCGGTCCATGGAAAAACCTCTCTTCAATAGAACCAGTTCCTGGTTCCCAAAAGGTTGGGGGCCACTGAACTAATATCAATGAATTTATCAGTGTATTTGAATAGATGGTGGTAGTACCTCTGAGAAAACACCTGTGGATTTCATAAATATCTTTGGAGGTACAAAGTAAGCACAATGAAGGATATGGAAAGGCCCGAAAATAGCTTCCTTTCCAGCTGCAGATTTTCATGAAAATTCTCTACATATATTCTCTACATATATTCCCAATGGAACAATTGCTGCTAGTCCTAAATTCAAATATATTATTCAGATTTCATTCCACTGATTTTACAATATGATCTTTTTTATATCAAGTACATATTATATGTTTACATTTGAATGATTTCTGTACAAACTGAAAAAAAATACAAAAATAGCCCTTATCTACACTGCATTCAACAACCTCAGATTTTCTATTCATAATCCAAGTTTTATTTGTTATAGTAAGATAAAATAACACATTTAAAAGTATAACACATAACTTGGTCTCCACAGTTTGAACGTTTCATTTTTTGATTGTTGTAAACCTATAAAATAGCAGCCTTTTTTCGTATAGTTCTCTTGTCAATTTAGACTCATTTCTAATATAATAGAAACCACAGTGAGCACAGAATGGCTTTTCTTTATGGCCTCAGCAATTATAAGCTTTAAAGAACAATGCTGAACAAACAGGAGTACAATAAATTCTTTAAATCATGTCTCTCAAAAATATGTAAAACAGCAGGATTACAATCAAGTTAAAGCTTAACGTAGGCTCTTTCTAACAAATGCAGACTCTGATGGATCTGACGTAAACAGAGTTTGTCAGTTCTAATCAGCTTCAGATTAGAAACTTTAGAACTCCACACTATCAACCACGACAGGACAATTTTAGCACAAGGTCTTTTAAAACTGGGTTTGATTATTAATTTTAGATATGGTAAGGCTAGATTTATGTCCCGTGGAGATTGTTTTTCTTCATTTGGACTTTACTTGTTAACCTAAATGGGTGGCATGAGAGATTAGTAAAAATAAAATAAAATAAATAAGCTATTTGGGGTTATATGAGAAGTTTGTCTCATATATATCCTGAGGTACTTCTAACATTAAAAAACAGTACATGTGAGCTAGAATATTTGGCTCAGCATGGGGAAGAAATAGCTTGTGGGCCTAATTGGCCACAGAAGTTTCTCTTTTGACTTGCAAGACTTCTACAGAGGCCAGCCACCTTTTTCCCAAGGCCCTCATTTTTTTCCACACTCAGAGACTTTTCTTTTTCCCTTCCCCATCCACAGCTGTCTTGGAGGGGAAGGAAACTCTGATGTCCAAACAACAGCTGCAAATTTAAAATGGCAATCTGTTCACTATACAGGTAGTCCTCGATTTACGACCAGAGTTGAGGCCCAAATTGATGCTTCAAGGATCATAAGTGTGAAAAATTGTCATATAAGCCACTTTTTTCAGCGCCTTTTTAACTTCAAGCAGTCACTAAATTCCTCAACAAACCAACATTCATTTTTATTTCAGTGTTGCTTTTATATCTTGCTTCTTTTCCAAAAGCACAGATTAGTGCACTTGGTGAGAGATACTTCATTTTATCTGAACAACCAACACTACAACCCTGTGTTGGTTTAAAAGACAGTGACAAAGCCAAAATCATCCACTGTTCAACAGTCAAATGTTGATGTGAACTCAATGTTTCTCTTCTCTCAGATACAGTACATTAACTGATATGCTAGATGGATAGAATGCCAAGATAAAGCTATAAAGATTTATGAGTTGCCTTTTTGGAAAAGAAGTACAGCATATCTTATGTTATTATTCACAGTTTATATCAAATTCCAACTTATTTTACTTTGCTGCACAATAACTGAATGTAAACAAGTCTTGTGACTCCTGAAAAAGTTGACTCACTTCCTGTTTTGTGAATTCTGATGGCATTTTGCTGGTTCATATCCTGTCTTTCTTCCATCCAAGAGCATAAGGCCATGTCACATAGGGCTCCCATATGTCACCCAACTAGAGGCCAGACCTGCTTAGCTTCTGGAAGGCTACTCCATCCTGGTCACTAGACCCCTTCAGTATTAGTGCCATTATCTTCCCCCCCCCCCCCCCCCCCCCCCCCCCCCGAAATATGAAGAGAGAAATTTGTGGGCCATGATCTGTAAAGTACAGCCATTTTTAGAAATCTAAAAATGGCTGTACTTAGGCAATATGCTTAACTACCTATTTCAAGACTTAGTGATTGTGAAACTTGGTTGTTTTAAATCTGGGTTATTTGTGATTTAATGCTCTGTGTAAACCCATCCTGCTTCTCTAGTTTGTGATTCAATATATTTTTCAACCACAGAAAATGGTTTGATGCAGTAAGTGTATGTTTCAGATTAAGGCTATTGAGTCTACAATGTTTCATTATGCAACTAGATGTTTTCTTTCCATATAGTTGTGTTTATAAAAAAATAAAGGCATAACAATTAAAATAAACTTAATTTAAACTCTCACTGCAGTGGAAATCACATCTGGCTTTATTATCAATATAATAGATAAATAATAAAACAAATATAGAAGTAATAATTTATAAATATCAAGAACATTCTGATATTATTTTAACATTAGAGTCTATAACATTGATCTTTTTTGGTGTCAAGTTTGAGAGTTTATTATAACTACACTAAATTTTAAGCAGCAGGTATTCTAATAGAAAAAATGTATGCAAGCAAATTGTGAAACATAGCAATATGTTTCCAAAACCAAATGCTTCTTCCTGTAGTGACATTATATTTATTCATTTACTTATTTATTTTCCCTTTTTCAAACAGATTTCCCGCTTTCAGCACAATATTCTAAAAGAAAACGTGTATCAAAAACTCTTTGCCAATCAACCTATAATGTTCATATCTCGCACAAGTCAGCCCCCCTACCAGAAGCTCTGTGAGCTGGTACAGCTTTGTGGAGGAAAAATATGTAAAACCCTCCGTCAAGCTAAAATTTGTATTGGACAGTGCAAAATTGGAAAGTATGTGGATATGCAATGTTTATCAGAAAAATGGATTATAGGTAAGAGATCACATTTTTACTTTCTAAAATGTAACTTGTATGTGTTCTAAAATATAACTTTTACACTCTTACATTTTTTTCTGAAAGGAAGACAATTTTTCTCCAAAATAATTGATCTTTAAAATGGGTCATTTTAGGTTTCCTAAGATTAATGACATACAGGAAAGGAGATTTTGGGGGTGAGGAGTATGTTTGAGGGTTTTCTTTTCTTTTGCCTAGGGGTGGGAATTATCTTAATCTCAGGATTATGTTTCCAAAAATCAATGTATGGGCCCCTACAGCATTAACCAACATTAACATTAGCATGTAAAACCTGTTGCTATTCTCAACCTTGTTTCTCCCATGTACAAGAAATTTCATGGCTTCCAATGTTGCAGAAGTAAATCTGTCACTGTGCAGTGTAGCTTTCCCTTCTTTTTTTCTTGAGCTTCACATTCCCTTTCCTTTACACCTTTTCCCATATATCCCTACAGCAGATTTCAAGCCTGTATTGTCAGATAAAGAAGGGAAGTGTTAGGTGGACCCTACTGAGCATATGTCTGTGGCCAATTATTCTATGTGTGTACAATTAAGTTGTATATCGATATATAGGTAATAAGTTTTTTTATTATATTATTCTCTGCTCCCATAATCAGGCAAATTACAGTCTGTTTCCTTGTGCAATTTAAACTTACTCTAGAATTTCCCATGTCACCCATAGATTTTAAGTCTAAACAAGTAGGGTCGTTCCAGATGTTCCCATGCTTCAAATCTTGATGCATTGCCTTGACTTGAAAATTGGTCCACCTCAATGCCCTGGAGCAAAGTGTCCAAGTGAAGCAAAGCTGGTTTGAGTGGCCACTTCGCTGAGATAGAAAAGGACTTCTCTCTCAAGGTTGCGTTAGTGCAGGAGATTCCCAGAGAGATTCTCAGTGCAGGAATGTAGAGAATGTAAACATGTAACTGCCTTCAACTTATGGTTCAAGGAAGCATGAGAAACAGATGGCAAAAGCCTCTCTATGCAGGGAAAGAGAAAGAAAGAGAGTACAAAGGATCTGAAGCAGAAATAAGATATAAATTATGTGCCATCTCTTCCACTGTCACTGACTGACAAGTGATTGCAATGGCTTCCTTCCCTGAGATAGCGAAGATTTGGTTTCTAGTCACATTTGTCCAAATCACCAAGGAGTTATGTCGCTAGGAAAGTATGATGTTCTGCATCAGCACAGAAGTCCTGTTTAGCAGTCTAGCGGTATGGCTGCTGTGAAACCACACTTGAAAAGAGAGTGTTGCTCCAGAGGGGCATTTTGATTAAACTTGTCAAGGTGAAATGCCCCACTGAAGTTCTGCACTGCTTATACACATGGCCAAGAAGAGCCTGGAGTTGCTTTTACAGGAAACTGATTACATGACTGAATTATTGTTTCTGAATTGGGAGTGTCTTCCCCTGTGGCTACTTACTCTGCCCACTTCCATTTTTTGTGTACATGGAGTTCATGAATGGATGGTGATTTTTTGCACTTTCTCCTCTCAGTGGAGAAAAAGGAATGTTCAAACTGGGATAATTGCAGTTATTTGAATCTGGATCTCCTTTGACCTGCAAGCCAAATTCATTAGCACGCAAAAAGAACCAAGCCGTACTTTCAGTTAACTGTTAGTCTTGTGTTTTGGTTTTAAACGGAGGCAAAAAGGCAGTGTCCATGCCAAAATTTGCCTTATCCACAAATGAAAGACAAAACTATGTGTGAGGTGGTATTATTTACTAAGAATGTTCAGATCTTTGTGGGTGGGAAGGAGTATCACTTTTGTGAGTGCTAAAGAAGGTTAAGAGAAGGCTGTGAGCTAACATAAAATGCCTCAGTGGAGTAAATGTCTTGTCTCTTATCCTTAACAAGATAAATTACAACACC